CAAAAATGCCCCTACTAGGCCGCTACACATTACAACACTCCCCCTCAAGTTGGAGCATATATGTCAATCATGCCAAACTTGTCACACAGTTCATTATGTCACAAATAGTAAAGACGCTTTGTAAGAACATCAGCTAGTTGTTCCTTGGAACTGATGTAAAGAGTACAAATTTCCCCCTTTTCAAGTTTCTCCCTTATGAAATGCTTGTTAATTTCAATATGCTTGGCCCTGTCATGAAGAACTAGATTGGCTACAATATTAATGGCTGCCTTGTTGTCATAGTAGAGAGACATCGGGCAATTAACAGAGAGGCCCAACTCTCCAATCAAATTCTTTACCCATATAGTACTTCAGCAACTCTATGTGCCATGGCCCTATACTCGGCCTCAGCACTAGATCTAGCCACTACACTTTGTTTTTTGCTTCTCCAAGTGACCAAGTTTCCACCAGCAAAGGTACAATATCCACTAGTTGATTTCCTATCATCAACTGCTCCAGCCCAATTTGCATCTGTGTAGACTTCCACTTTCATATGACCATGTTTCTTGAAAAGTAACACAGTTCCTGGATACTTCTTCAGATATCTGAGTACCCTCTCAGCTATTTCCACAAAAAAAATTTACTGCTGTTTTCTCAAAAAACCAATATGAGATAGAGGATTTTTTCTTCTGAAAAATAAGAAGGCTCCAAAAAATAGGTTCAACAGGACTGTAGGTCAATAACTCTTAGCTGAAACACTTCAGTTTATAAGAGGAGGAGACAACCAGCCCCTACAACCTCAAAACTGTGACATTCACAGTGGTCAAATGTTTACGCATGAATGTAACAGTACATACCTTGCTTCCACGACCAACAACACATAGAGAAACCTCGGAAAACAAAGCCTTAATGCACTCAGCTGCCACCACAAACCCAGAAAAACACCTTACTACATTTGGTTGCCACCACAGATCTAGAGAGAACCTTTACTGCATTCGGCTGCCACCATACCCTTTTTCTTGGTACAGTGACCAAGAGAGAAGAAAGAAAAAAAAACAAGGGCTGAAGGTTGTGCCCAAATGAAGAATGTGATGGAGTCTTCAATCAAAAGAAGATTTCCAAAAAAGGAAAGAAAACACGATTTGAGAAGGCTCCCAGATCAGTGCTCTGATACCATGTAGTTCGATAGAACAAGAAGAGAGAAGAGAGAAGAGAGAAGAGAGAAGAGAGAAGAGAGAAGAGAGAAGGGAGAGAAGGAAGAAAGGAGAAAGAGAGAGGAGAAAAGAAAATCTATTCAAATCAGTGGCTGGCAGCACCTAAGTTAGTATTTATACTTAGCACGACAGCTTATAACAAATACAATGGGAAAAGGCAGAAATGCCCCCACTAGGCTGCTACACATTACAACAATTGTCATACTTCTTAAAAGTCTAGCTATTGCCCATATAGATATTTGGCTCAGATTCTTCTTCCCAAAGCATGGTATGGCATCTGAAATAGATTCCATCCATAGTTTTCAAGGCACCAAGGCAAGGCTAGGCAACAGGGGGGGTGCCTTATCACCTAGTTGCCTAGGTGGGCACCAGACATCACCTATGCGATGGATTTTTTTAAGCAAAAAAACATTTATCTTAGGGTAGTTACCTAGGTTCCATAACCATATTTCCTTAATGATTATCCACAATTTTCATAAGAAAAGTATAAACTTCATGTTAAAGAATAGAAAATCAACATAATCATAAGAAAAGGAAGAAAGAAAAGAAAATTCAAAAAAAAAATATAGGTGTTGAACCCCTATTTTGTTATAGGAAAAGAAGATAATGTGTTGATTAGACAAAATTTAAGTTCTTCCTTACTTATTGGTTCAGGTTCCGAAGTCTTTGAGGGTTAAACGCAACATTTAGCAATCCTTTTGTTGATTAAACCCTAACAAATTAGAAAATAATAAAAAGAAATCAGTATATAAATGCACAAAATGAATTTTTTAGTTTAATAATATCCATTTTATAATTATAATATCAAAAAATTAAGAATATAAAAGTATGTTATAACACAATGCACAAAACTGCTTGGCAATTAGGCGAGGTGAGCCTCCAAGGGCACCTTGTTGCCTAGGTGTCAGTGTGTCACCTAGGCGTTGCCTTGACAACTATGATTTCATCTAGTAACATGGTTAACTCATAAGATAAACATTTATATATTCCAACTGGATGTTCTCCTTCGGCTCTAGTACAAGCTTAAATTATTTGGGATAAGTAAGCTAGCATTCATGCATAGACCTAGAGCCATTAAGATGGAAGATATTGTTGCTAGCAAGGAAATATTGGTAGTGTGTATTAAAATAAAACTAACAATAAAAAACAATTGGGTTAGCAGTTAAGGGAGAGGTGGAGGAAGTGGATGAAGAGTTGTCTAAGGTCTATACAGTATTCGATAGGGATGGCAATTTTCCCCATCCCTAATGGCGACCCGACTTCCCCGACCCGATGGGGCTAGGGATGGGGATTGCTTTGGCGGGCGGGGACATGGACGGGGGTTAATAGGAATCCCCAGTCGGGGTCGGGGATGGGGACTGAGGTCACCATCCCACCCCGACCCCGGTTATATATATATTATTTTTATTATTATTATATATATCAAAACATATTTAAAACATTATTTATAAATTAAATTTTTTATTTATTTAAAAAAAAATATTGTTATCTAAAAACATTTCGGGGATTTGGGTCCTCACAGGGAACCCATCCCCATCGGGGGGGATCGGGGATGGAGGACAAATTTTATCCCCGACGGGGATCAGGGACGGGGATGGGGGTTAATTTCAGAGTCGGGGTCGGGGACGGGGAGCATGATCCCCGCCCCACTGCCATTCCTAGTATTTGATTCTGATTAATGGTGTGGCAAGAGACTACTTTCCAGCAAAAAGGGGATTGAGGCAAGGGGACCACCTTTCTCCTTTCCTTTTCGCATTAATTGCAGATGTCCTAAGCAAGATGATGATACCATCTTATTTTGTGAGGAAGCTTGGAGGTTGTTGTAACTCATTTGTAGTTCATTGATGATACCATCTTATTTTGTGAGGAAGGCAACCTTGAATCTACTTCAAATCTGCAAGAAGTCATTAGTTCCTTTGAATTAGTCTCCACTCTGAAGATAAATTGGGGAAAGAGTTGTGTAGCAGGAATAAATCTGGATGATGAAAGTCTAAGGGTGATAGCAAAGATGTTGGGGTGTGAGATCAAACAATAGCCTTTAGAGTACCTAGGTTTACCCTTGGGTGGAAACCCTAGATCAAAGGTTTTCTGGAAACTAGTGGTGGAGAGATTTATGAAGAAATTGGCTGTGGAAGAGAAATTACTTATCCATTGGTGGAAGGATAACCTTAATTAGAGCAACATTAGCGAATCTCCCAATTTATTTCTTGTCCACTTTTAGAGTCCCGATGAGGGTAGCAAGGGAGTTAGAGAAGCTTATGTGGGACTTTCTCTAGGAGCCCAAGGATGAAAAGAGAGACCATCTAGTAAAGGGGAACAAGTTTGCAACACAAAAGAAGAGGGAGGTTTAGGGTTGGGGAATTTAATTCACAGGAATTTTTCGTTGCTAGGAAAATGGCTTTGGAGGTTTCTATTGGAAAGAAACAGGCTATGGCACAATGTTATTGAAAGCACTCATGGGCTAAGGGATAATGGCTAGGATGCAAAGGTCACTCTGACATCTACCTTGAACTCTCCTTGGAAAGCAACTCAAGAGGTATATCCAACTTTTCTTAACTTCATTTGATATGATGTGGGTTGTGGTTCCAGGGTTCTGTTTTGGGAAGACCTTTGGTGGGGTGACTCTCCTTTTTATTCTCTTTTCCCCAATCTTTACTTGATTTCTGACTATAAGAAGAGACCTATCTCAAGTTTCATCGCCTTATCTCAATCCATTGTGAGTTGTGACTTTGGGTTTAAGAGAGGTCTAAGGGATAATGAGTGTCAAAGCTTATTAAGCCTTTTTGATAACCTCAATTCAGCTTTTCTAGTCTGTGATATGCTTCAAAAGAGGCCTCATATGTGCCTCTCCCCTCATGTGTGCTTTCTTTGTTTTGCGAATGGTGAATCCCTCTCTCACTTGTCCTTATTGCTTTTTGTTTGGAAGTCTATTTGCTCTCTGTTTGGTTGCGGGTGGAGCTCCCCACAGGATGTAGTGAGCCTCTTCAACCCAAACTTCCTAAGGCAGCCGACAAAGAGGGGAAGAACAATGTGGAAATCAGTGAGGGAAGCTGTGGCATGGACGATTTAGGAGGAAAGGAATGCAAGAATATTCAATGGCAAGTGCAGACCAAAAGAAGAGTTGGTGGAAGTTGTAAAGATAAAAGTTTCTCATTGGATAAAAACACTCGAGCTGTTCCAAAGCTTCCCTGTGGCTGATATCCTGCGGGCTTGGAAAGAAGTGGCATGTTCAACTAAGAAGAAAGAAAAGATGGTGATGGAATGGAAACCCCCTGCTGCAAATAAGTTAAAGTTGAACTTTGATGGCAATTCCATAGGGAATACGGGATTTGCAGGTATAGGGGGTGTGTTCAGAGACTCAACAAACAAAGTTCTGGCTATGTATTCAGGGCCTATAGGGGCAGGTGACTCCATAAAGGCTGAGTTTCATTTTCTTTTGCAGGGATTAAAACTAGCCAAACAAGCAGATTTTAAAAATTTGGAAGTTGAGGGAGATTCAAAACTGGTGATTTCTTGGTCCTGTTTCAGAGGTAACGCTCCCTGGATTTATAGGCATTCCTTGCGAGAGATTGAAAGTTTAGCAAGGGAGCTCAATTACACTTTCACTTGGATTAGTACTGCAAATGGAATGGCTGACTCACTAGCAAAACAAGGAGTGTACAGACAAAATCTATTCTGGGCAGTTTTGTAATTCTTTTCGATTGTTGTGTTTGTGTTCTCCTTCTGGCTGTAATCTCTTTTTTCATTTTAATAAAATTTATCCTTCTTTACTGATCAAAAAACAACTGGGTTTTCTTGACAGGATACCTGAATATAAGAGCCCGATATCCCTGGGAAGTGAGGTTTCTGTGATACTTGATCATGCTTCCAGCATCATGATAGTAGTTGATCTTATATGTACATAACTCCCAAGTAACTACCAACACCTTTGCCAAAAAAAATGAAATCACCAATCACTGATGTAAATAGGCAATATTTGATAACTGGACAGATTAACTGCTTTAAGATTGAAGTGCATATGATATAACAGAATGGAGATAAATTAGTATTTAAATCCACCTCTTCAGCATGAATTGCTTTCCTGACTTCTTCATTGTTTAGCCATGAAGTTGCAACTTCATCATCCTACATTTTCACAGTAATTGATTAAATGGCTAGTTTTAAGAAAATATAGAGGGTAAATAAACAAATCCAATAATTATTTTACTCAACAAGATAATCAAGTGACCACAAATAAGTTAATCATAGACTCAAGAATGTAATAGGGATGTAGAGTCATCTGGTTCACCAGCAATACTGTTGAAAGATGTTCTAGAATGTAATCAAGGTCATTATTGTCTTTTCATCTTGTCTAATTTTAACCCTCTGCTTAATCATGGTTATGGGGCATATGGCCTTACTTTTGTTGCCCCAAATCTTCCTCTTATTTTGTCTTTTCTCCTTTCTCACTCTCTTATTCTTCTCTTCTTCAATTTTACTTCTTAACTTGAAGTGATTCACAAGTTGGTATCAGAGCAGGGAGATCTTTTATTAGGTGTTTTGGAGAACTTTCTTGAGGGCTGATGTTATAATATCCATAAGATGATATCAGCAGGCTGTACAGATGCATGGCTGTGAGCTATATATAGAAGAAGAGAAACAGAAGAGATCAAAGAGAAGAAGAGAAAGAGATCATGGATGCAGAGAGAAAAGCATAACAAGTAGCAATCAGCTGCCTCTTCCTCTATTCATATAAGCAGTTAAAAAGATCCTTCCCTTTAGAGATAAAAGAACTATAAAGAAATAACAGACCATAAACAAAACATGATAAATACCCATTATCAAAAACTAGCTTATTCTCAATATTAAGCAACATAGATAAACTTCTAATCCTTTTTCTATAGATATGTAATGGTAAATATGAACTATTTTAATAGTTTATACTTTTTTATAGTCTGACTGTCCGTGAGTCCTTGTTTTTCATCCTGCTGAATCAGAGACACATGTACAACTCTGATCCACGTCTGTGTCCATGCTATTATTTTAAAATCCAACCTGGAACTTGAACCTTTCTCCTCTCTGGGCCAACAGGTCAACCCCATGATGTCATCAACATAAAAATTCAAAAAAAAAAAAAAATCTAATACAAGAACCCAGTAACCAGATGGATGGGTCAACGATTCAACCACTTAGGTATTGTTGACAAGTCAATGGTCTTTTGTAAAATAGCAGTTAGATGTTGACCCAAACAAGTATTGTGGCCGGGTCACCAGTCCAGATGGCTGGGTCAACAATGGTTGAAAAAACTGGTCCATGCAACATTGGTTTGGGGGGTTACTTCTTTGAGACAAAGCAGGATGGTAGCAATTATGTAATTTTTTGTTTCTTAGTTCTATTAGGACTTTTATTGATCTATAGTCTATAAATATGTATAGAATGCTTTAGGTGTCAAAGAATTAAGTTTATTTGAGTTATTATAACTTCTGCTGAGAGTGGTGAATGATATTGATTCAGGTATGTTTTCCCTGATTCTCAACAACCCACAAATTCTTCACCAAAGGAGTTCATTAGACATCCCAAAGGAAAATCGATTTAGCTATGTTTCTCTTCTGTTGCATCAAATCCCAAATTTTTCTCATTCCAGTCATCTATGTTATTTTGTGCCAGACCATCTTCAAGTGCTCTCACATTAGGTTGCCTCTTTATAGGCCTTCATCTCCTTTCAACCTACAAAAGTTCATCCCAACACTCCATCCAGAACCCTAGTTTTTGGAAATGTAGCACTTTCTCTCATGAATGGAATCTTTTTGTCCTTTCTTCTTCAAAACCTACCCAGAATGCCTTCAAGTTAAATCAATCAATGCAATCCCATCATTTTAAACATCACCACAATGTTTCATTAAAAAAAATCTATCCCTACAATAACTTTTTGAATTTTCTCTTTTCAAGCATCCTATGCAAAACAATTTTTAGTGCATTGAACCAAAACCTTTGTAACCCCCTATAAATCCTTTCTTTAGTTTTAAAATCATCCCTAAACCCATCTTAACCCATCATTACCCTTTAGTCTTATCCCTTGTCATACCAGCCCTGCATCAGGTACAAACAAAAGATAGCTTTTCCATTGATTGAAAAGATAATATGGATGCTTGTCAAATGAGATTCCAAGTATTGAAACATTAAATAATGGCATGGGAAAGTGTCTTAAAGATAAAAATAGTAATTGTAAAGTATTTTTCAGAAAAAAAAAAAGTAAAAGAAAAGAAGAGAAAAAAAAAGACAACTAACAAAATTAACTTCAATAATGACAATTGTATATATGCTGCAGAATAAATTGCAAATGGTAAGTGAAGTAAAAGTTCGATTATCTGGTTTAGCACTTTATGGATTCTTACAACTCTTATAAAATCATGCATCAAGTGCATCAACTACATTTTTTTTACTTGCAATGTTGTGCTAAATAACTAAAAGAATAAGGCAGAAGTGAAGAACACCATTTATATCTTGGGATCCCCTTCTTAATTTTGACTACATTCTAGTGATTTGGAAGAACTACAGTCTCATAAATGTTCAAGAAACCAAGAGGAATTTAGTTTGAGAAGCTTACAGTGCATGGAACACTTCCACTGTTCATGAGTTGCGGCCATGTTGGAACATAACCATCTCTCACAGGAGCTCTAAGTGGCCAAGCACGACCAAACATCCTTTTCCTCACAGCAAGAGGTCTCTCAGTCTCACCTAATTTCCTGAAGCTAGATGGTAACCTGATGTTACCAGCTGCATTATCTGTTGTCTCTGGGCTGTGATAGCAGGGCTCAAGGATGTCGTAGATGTTTAAATCACCAATATCCTGGATGTAAATGAGGAATTATGCCATTAAAAACCCTTAACACTCAAGGAAAGAAAATGGAGTTTTGAGCTCATGGAAGATTTTTCACAACTGTAAACTTGGACACCTTACCTTGTCAATTTCATCAAGCTTGTCTTCACAGCTTGCATTAACCTGATCCCAGTAGTTTCCTTGACAGGCATCTGTTGCTTCCTGCAAAAATTTTACCAGGAATGATCTAATAATACTTTAAAAGAAGGATATAAAGTTTGAACAAGGAACTTCACCAAAAACTACTTTAATAGGTTAAATATAGTTCTGAAGGTGAACAGAAAAGCATATACTGATAGTAGACTGAAATGGTTGTTCAACCCACCTTATACAAATCATCTGAGATTAGGCCCATCCCATGTGCAAATGGTACAAGAGCATTTCCATCAAATTCACTATCGCAAACCCCATTTCCCACCATGTAACCCTGTATCAAATGAAACCCAATCAAGGTGACTAAGCCATCATTAAATTACAAACTAAGATGTGTGGTGGGCAAGAACGCCATACCTTGAAGTTGAGAATGGGCTCTGATCCACTGTTAATTCCTGCAAGAGTGACAAAGTTATGCATGAAGTTTCTATTCTAAAAAGTAAGCAGTTCACAAAATCAGCTTAAAAGCACAAAATACCCTTCACAACTTCAGAAGCAAGAGTTGGCACATAAACTCCAGCATATGATTCACCAGCAATAAAAAATGGGTTAGAGAGGAATTCTGGGTATTGTCCAAACCACTGCAGACCAAGTTGGAGAAATTAGTACATTTTAGACATGCACCATGTTAATATGTAGTAAAGGTGTGAAATATGTGTATGGATAGAAGCATTTGACATGCTCAAACCATATACGATACAATGACAAGGCTATGTATGATTTATATCAGTAAAAAGTGTTTACAAAATCAACCACCCATTATTTCTAATATTTATATTTTGTCAACTATTTTTATAAATTTTGAAGAATATGGACACTATCTACCCCCCCCCCTCCACCCCAAGGGCACAACACATTCATCTTTGTTACTAAAGCTTCACCATTGTGTTAGCATAGTACCTTGAGGAGAAATGTGTGTGTATCAGATGCAGTCTTTAGGTCTCCTGTTTTGTAGTCAGACTCATTCTTTGAGTAAGAGAATCCAACGCCGGCAGGAGATTCCAAATATATAATATTGGAAACCTGAAATGCAGCCATGAGAAGAAAAAAAAAGGCTCGAATTGTTACATAGGGGAAATTTTCCTAAAAGATGGGTTCTTCTCTTTCCATATCATCAAAACCAAACATGGAGCACTTTCCAATATCTGACAGTTTCATGAAACAAGATAACAATGTCCCAATAAATACAAAATTTTTAAACCTTTGACCAGCTGTATGGATTGAGATGGAGTTTTGGAAGACTTCTAGGAGTACTTCCTGCTTCAAAATTGAATGGCCCTGCAAAATTGGAGCATAGACTGTTGCAAGTCAGATCTGTTCACAATCCAACAACCTCGATTCACCCAGTAAATGCTTGGCACTTGACCACAGGATAAGTAAAATAAAAGGAGAAGAGATAAGTTTTCAATTCCCCACCTCTAAGTCTCAGTTTGGAATGAGTACAAATACATATATGTAGACAAGGTTCAAAATTTTGATACAGCCCGATACGCCGGTAGAGGCATATTGGGCTGTACCTTGGCTCGCTCTTCTTGTTTTTTAGTTTTTTTCTTCGAAACTTGTTCAGGGGGGATTGGTTTAAGGCTCGTCTACCCACTGAAATAGGTGGGACCCTGAAACATCTTGTGTAGGGGCGTATCAGAGGGGCCCCAATATGATACGTATCGGCTGATACGCCCCAATACGTGACGAAATTTTGAACCTTGTATGTAGAGTGCAAAACCATGTATTTTGTATGTATTTACACTACACATATTTGCGTTTGTACTCTTTCCAAACTGAGCCTAAAATAACATAATCGGGTGGGTAAACCAAACCAGCCCAATAATTTCCAGGTTCCAGTTTAAGGAAATGCTCAGCATGCCTCAGCTATGCGAAATGAGATTTGGATTACGCAGCCCAAAAGCAAAACCAAATATAGCTTATTCGCAAATAAATAATTCCAATCAGAAATTTGTTTTCTTCATGTGTCATCATCAAACTATGAAGACTTAAACAGTAAAAGGGAGTTTCACCAATTTTCCTGAATCAACAGAACAGCCTTCAAAAACTTAGGAATATGAATGACTCGATGGACAGAGGAATTGCTTATTTGGCATCAAACTCCTTCACACTTGACAGATAAACAGTGGTACAGCTTCAACAATTACTAGAAAACAATAAGACTGTAAAATAATGATTACCGTGTTCATAAATAAATCCATCAAAGCTAGAGCAACCCGGTCCACCATTAAGCCACAAAACAACAGGGTCCTCAGATGGATTCCTTTCCGAAACGACAAAGTAGTAGAACAGATTTTTGCCATGACTCTCATCAATTGTTATATACCTTCAAAACCCAGGTCAGACAAACTCAAAAAAACAAAACACATAAGTAATTTCAAACTCAATAAAACAAAACAGGTGAAGTAATGTGCTCATACCCAGAATAGTGCTTGGAAGGAAAAGTGCCGCTAAAACCAGGAAGATCTAAGATGAGAGCACTTTCAGGAGCTGCATTAATGAATGCAAACCTCACAAACGCCTGAGCTAACAAAAGACAGAGGAAGACTTTATCCATAGCCGTGGCCGAGTCAAAGAGGGGAAAAAACTAAACTACTGCACAACTGGTGGTTCAGAGAATATAGACAGCTAATGTATACAGACCGATGACCGATGATCGGTTCAGCAGATGGTTGCTCAAAAGTGAAGAAGAGGCAATTTGATGTGAAAGATCAAGAGATTTAAGGTTCATCAATGAACCTTCTGAAGCAATTTCCGACCAAAAACAAAGCTGCAGAGCACCACTCTGAAGTCTGAACTGAAGTTTGAAGCAACAGAAACAAAGCACCTTCAGTGCTGATAATGGGGTTTGGGTCCTCATCCAGTCATCCACTCCAATTTGGTGCGTCTTGCGTGCAAAGGTAAAGTATGGAAAAGTATCCCACAAGGACGGCGTGGGATAACATAATAATATTGAAACAAACGTCATGCGGAATTTATTTGAAACAGAACAGGAAAATAGAGCACTGAGTTGTTTTATTTTTTTATTTTTTCTTTTTTTCTCTTATTGGATAACGTCCACATCGATGCTCTTACTTTGGAAGCTAGGGAAGTAGTGTCCATCGATCTCTGCAATTCTCACATCTGAGGATAAAAGTGCCATGAAATCAGGGCACTACATTCCTGTACAGTTCCGTTTAATGGTATGTTTGTCATCCATGATGATTTCTTCAAAATCACTACATTCCTGAACAATTGTTTGGTAGTGATTGGCGTTGGAATTTCTGTTATTTTGATGATTTTTAGGAAATCGTCAAAAAATCGATTTTTGAAATCAGTACTCACCTTTTTTATGATTTCCTAATTTTTAGTTTCAAACATGGACTTAAATAATAACTCTAATACAAAATAATATGCCCTTGAGAATCACTACCAAACAATGCCCTCCAAGCAAAAATGCTACTTACACACTGACATGGGAATCCAATCGGACAATGGGGAACATCTTCCATGAATTTAGCGTACATATATGCAAAATATTTTGAATGCCATGTGAGCAAAGTTTTTGCAATGATTGATCTTTGTAGGAGGACCATGCAAGAATGTTTCTTATGCGATTAATCAATTCAACCATCTCCGTCAAATTGATAAAATGTTTAAAATATAAATAAATACAATAATGTAAAATATATATAGAAAAACTTGAGCACATCTCTAATATTTTATATTAATGATCATATTAAAGAAGAATAAGTGTAATAAATAATAATTGATTTTATTGATATTAGAAATGAAATACAAAATTTAAAATTGACTCAAAAATGAAATTGTTTTCCTATATAGTAACAAGTCAATAGATCAACCTTTTAGGTCAAATATGTCTACTCTTGATGTTAGAATTAAATAACAAACCTTAAAAAAAAAGATAAAAACACAAAAAATAAAACATGCAGAAATTCATTAATATTTTATATTAATTATATTAAAGAAAAATAAGTATCATAAATATGAAATTTAAAATTTAAAATTGACACAAAAAATGCAATTGTGGCTTTCCCTATTTTATAGAAATTTGGGCACATCTCTAACAGTATATAGTCATCAAATAAAAAGTACAAAAAAGAAATAAAAACAAGTATGATAAACAAGAATTTTTTTATTGATGATGAAAATGAAACACAGAATTTAAAATTAACCTATGAAACTATTTTCCAATTTGATGGTAGGTCAACAATTCAACCTTTCATGTCAAATATGTCATTCCTTAATGTCATAATTAAAAAATAAAATTAGAAAAAAAAGAAAAACATAAAAAAAATTACAAAAAAACATAAATTGTGTAAAAAACATGTGGGCATATCTATAACATTCCACATAAACCATATTAAAGAAAAACAATGTAATAATTAAAGAAGAATTTTTTGACAGATTATACAAATAAAATACAAAATTTGGAACCAAACGAGAAACAAAATTATTTTTCAATTGGCAGTGGATCAATGTCTTAACTTTTTGAGCAAGATCTGTAATTCTTAATGTAGAAAACATTTGGACACATCTCTAATATCATACATTCATCACATCAAACAAAAATAAGAATAACCAATAAAAATTAATTTTATACACAAAAAATATAAAAGAATTTATTAAAGATTTTTGAAAACATAATATTACTATCATCATCATCATTATCTAAAATTGCCATATACAAAATACATACACTTATAATCAATATAAACTGCCCTAAAAGTTTACTTTTAACGTACAGATGGCCTCTTTGTGTGATAAGGCCGTTATCTTACAAGATATATCTAAATAGTTTGAAAACCAGGGTACATTTAGCAGTTCCTCAACCCTCGTGGTAACATTAAGGCTCAGCTTGGAAGGAGTATGTAGAGGGCAAAACAACATTAAGGCTCAGTTTGGAAGGGGTATGTAAAAAGCAAAACCTTATATTTTGTATTATTTTATACGTAATTGTATTGTACATATTTGTTGTACTCTTTCCAAACAGAGCCTAAATAACTTTCTAACATCCACCCAATGATGATGTTTGTGTTGAGTGAGTTGTGGATTTTCAAATTTGTGGAATTTTGCACCGCTTGGTTTATCAATATGGCTTAACTTACAGACTGTGGAATTTCGCATTCTTAATTGACGTTAGACTCAAGTTTGAAAGGAGTACAAATAGTGCAAAACCTTACATTTTTATTTGTATTGTATTGACGTTAGACCAGTTTTGTATGTAGTTGTATTGTTCATATTTGTATTTGCCCTCCTTCCAAACTGAGCCTAAGTTTTATTACAAGATATGATATTTGGCTAAGTACTCTAAATATTATACGAGAAACCGAATGTCTTGGTTGAGAGAATTTGCGTGGGAGGCTTCTCTCCTTTCTCCTCCTCCATTGGCTCCACTCTCCAATGTCGTCCACATGTCCCTAGTTGCAGCTGTCCTTCCCAATTCTCTCGCATGTCCATCCACCTATCAATCCTGTGATTCTCTCTCTCTCTCTCTGTTTGCCTCTGTCTCCCTCCTCTGTATCCCCTTTTGGCTTTTCCTTCTGAACTATCTGACGATGAAAAGATAACTTGGAATTCGATCAGCCATGGAGAAATCAATTCCTGGTGGCGACGACGACCCAAGAAACGAAGAATTTGCTGAGAAATATGTGTGTCATTTTTCCGATAGGATTACATCAAGAGGCATATGGCTAGGTGATAACCCTCTGCATTTCTCAACACCTCTCCTAATGACGCAGCTCTCTCTAATTTCAACAATAACTCACGGCATTTACATCATACTCAAGCCTCTGGGACAACCCATGATCGTTTCTCAGATACTCGTAAGCTCCCTCCTCCTCAACATGATTATAGTCAAGCTTTCATTTCTGTTCTGCTTTGAATTAATTATTCGTTGTATCTGTGGTGATCGATGGTTTCCTATCCGGCAGGGTGGTATAATATTAGGTCCTTCAGTTCTTGGGAAAAGCCCGGGGTTTGCAGAAGCGTTGTTCCCGACGGTGGGCAAAACCGTTCTCGACACCCTCTCAGTTTTCGGCTTCGTGCTCTTCATCTTCCAAATCGGAATCAAAATGGACCCAGGCAGAGTACTGAGATCAGGAAGACTGGCCTTTGCCATAGGCACATTAGGTTTCCTGGTTCCTTACGCAATGGCCGGGAGTACAGCTTTGATCCTCAAGGTTTTCGTAGCCATGGACGATGATTTACAACTGTTGCTTACTCACATTGCAGCAACTCTCTCCATGTCTCCCTTCCCAGTTATTGCCATCTTCCTCGCAGAGCTCAACATCCACAACTCCGAGGTGGGTCGCATAGCTACGTCTTCTTCGATCATCTGTGACATATGCAGCTGGACGTTCAGGACATTTAGGTTTGCGGAAAGGATCGCCACCACCAAGTCTGTATCCACATCGATCTACTCGGTGTTATCCAACGTGACGTTGATTATGGTGATTCTGTTTGCCATCCGCCCGGTAGCGCTGTGGACAATCCGAAACACCCCAGAAGGGAAAACTGTGAAAGAGATCTACATATTTGCGTTTCTTACCGCTGTGATGGGGTTTGGATACATCGGAGAGTTCATCGGACAACATGCTTTGTTGACGTCCTTCCTGCTAGGCCTGGTTATACCGAACGGACCTCCCCTCGGAGATGCATTAGCAGAGAAGCTGGATTGCTTTGTGTCGGTGCTGCTTGTGCCCATGTTCTTCACCATTTGTGGGTTGAGGACTAATGTTTATGCCATAAAGAAGCTGAAGAATATGTGGATCATACAGTCGATAGTGTTTGTGGCGTTTGTGGGAAAGATCATAGGAACCATATTGCCTCCTCTCTACTACAAGATGCCGTTTCGTGATGCTTTCTCACTTGCTCTCATTATGAACTCCAAGGGCATAGTTGAAGTCGCCATATTTAATGCGTGGATGGACGTTAAAGTAAGCTCACTCTTCTCCCCCTCTCATTCTTTCTCTTCTTCAAAATAAGTGGTACCCAGTGTGGAATGTAAATCAAGATCGATATAAAATTTAACTCTGATTCAGATTTATCGGCATTTGAATTTGAACTGAGTGGAATTTTATATCGTAAATCAATGTAAAACAACACTTGTGATAAGGTTTTTACATCGATTGTCGATGTAAAAACTATATTTTTCTATGCTCAATGATTCACATTTTCAAGCGGTTCGGTGTGAAACGTCATTGATGGACTTTTACATCAGTAACATTTTACACCGCTTCCAACCGCAGTCTCAAAAAGTCAAAATGGAGGTTCAAAAGTGCTTCCATAAATCAGTTTAGTTGTTTCCTTGTGCTCAAAACAAAATGGGTAACAAGGGAAAGTTTTGTTTTTTCGGTTTTTTTTTTGGGAAAGCTAGCTAGTTGCGCATGAGATTAGCTCACTCCTTTCTCCTTTTGATTTTTTCCTTTTTTTTTTCTCTTCTTCAAAATAATTAAATGGTACCCCAGATAGAGCTTCTGCAGGAACATTTGATATGTAGAAGTTAATTACCACTAACAGTAGATTTGACACTCAAAATTAATGGAGGTTCATATAGGGTGTCAATTGGTCCGATCCGGTCCAATGTGAGTCTATTATAAATGGACCAGGTACAATCCAATCCAATAAATGTTTTGGACCAATTTGGACCGGTCTAATTCAATGTCTAGACCGTCCAATCTGTTCAAATTCATTTTGATTTAGATCGATTTCAACCCAAACCCAATTCATTGACACACATATTCTTATCTTATATACCAGATATTGGCTTAATCCAATATAAATTTGTTACGGACGGATCAGGTCCAATCCAATATATCTTGTCGGTCCATCCAATCCGTCCAAATTGGTTTTGGACTGAACGGGGTCCAATCCAAAACAGGTACATTGACACCCTTAGGTTCAAAGTGTTTCCACTTTCCACAAATCAGTTTGCTTGTTTCCTCGTACTCAAAATAAATGGGTACCAAGGGAAAGCTAATTGTGCATGAGATTAGTTGACTCTTTCCTTGACTGTTTCCTTCTTTCTCTTCTTCAAAATAAAAAGTTCCCCAGGTAGAGCCTCATGAGCAGGATCAGGATCAGTATGCAGAAGTCAATCACCGTTAATTAACTGTAGATTTAACACTCAAAATGGAGGTTCAAAAGTGTTTCCATCAATCAGTTTGCTTGTTTCCCTGTGCTAAAAAAAAATTGTGTACGTACCAAGAGAAAGCTAATTGTGCATGAGATTATCTCACTTCTTCATCCGGTCATTACATCAGTCTGTAATTTTACTCCAACAAATGAAAAGAGGAGATAAATAATCAACTCTTTGGGCGGGGCGCATCTGCATCGGTCACCATCTGAAAGGGGCTGAAAGATAATCGAAAATTTTCAAATAGAAAAAACATTTCGCTTCCCTTATACAATGAAACAAACAAGAGCTACAAATTTAAGCTAACATCTTCTGTAGCTTTTGGAATACTATATATCTCTAATTAATTAATATTTAGACATATATGTTGATCATTTGCAGGTATTAAGCGATCAATCTTTCGCCATTTTGATTATTTCAGTGGTGCTTATAACAGGGGTCGTGTCACCCCTTGTAGGGTTTCTCTATGACCCTTCCAAGAGATACACAGCCTACAAGAGAAGGACCATCCTGCACAACGAACGCGATGCAGAACTCCGAATACTTGCCTGCGTCCATTGTCATGAAAATGTTCGCGCCATCATCAACCTCCTTGAGGCCTCCAATCCAACCAAGGAAAGCCCCATAGGTGTCTATGTTCTCCACCTTGTCAAGCTCATCGGCCGCGCCTCGTCGCTGCTCGTCGCCTACCGGCCACGCAAGAAGGAGGCCTCGAGGTCTAGCCCCTCCGAGCGCATCTTCAAAGACTTCAAATCCTTTGAGCAAAACAACCTAGACATGGTGAGTGTGCATTCCTACGTGGGGATTGCACCTTACTTGACAATGCATGATGATGTATGCTCGCTTGCCTTGGAGAAGAAAACGTCTCTGATAATCATGCCCTTCCACAAGCAATGGTTCTACGAGCGGTCAGTGCAGTCATCCTGTGTGCTAAGGAACTTGAACTGCAATGTGCTTGACAAGGCTCCCTGCTCCGTGGGGTTGCTCATTAATCGCTCCTACCTGAGACAGTCTAAGCCCATGTCCGACACATCATACCATGTCGCCGTGCTGTTCTTCGGAGGCGCCGACGACCGAGAAGCACTGGCATACGCCGAGCGTATGGCGGAGAACCCACGGACAAGGCTCACGGTGCTTAGATTCTCTGCATCTGATCATGTCATCTATAGCAGTGCCAGAAGCAGGAACCTTGATAATGAAATGTTGAATGAATTGAAACACAACGCTGCGCTTAGTGAGAGGCTTGTGTTCTCAGAGGAATTAGTCAAAGATGGAGCAAAGATAATCAATATTATTCGATCCATGGAGAACTGCTACGACCTGGTTATGGTGGGGAGACACCATGCAGAGTGGCAGAATATGCCAGGGCTTGGAGAATGGAGTGAGTGCCCAGAGATAGGGAGAATTGGTGATGTACTTGCTAGCCCAGATTTCAAGGGTGGGTCTTCTGTCTTGGTGGTGCAACAACAGACCCGGGTGTGGGGCATGATTGAATCTCAAGAATCGTTGAACTTGAGAAACAATGGATTACTAGTAGGATGAAGCACAACATTTAATTATTCTGGTCGATCCAGGGAAGAGATGTACAGAGATATGTATGTATACTTTACTATATATTCCAGTTAATTAGCGCTAGCGCTGTACAAATTTTCTTCCTTTTTGTTTCAGTTTGATATATCCTTCAATTCCCCCTATAGGATAGGATAGGTACAGATGATGATGAATTCAGCCATGGAAAGAAAAAACAGGCAAGAAACAAGGGTTTGTAAAGCTATGAAGTTGTGTTTCATAGATGGAATTCAAGGGGGGTGAAAATGGAATTGGCCCTTCAGCAGAATTAATTCCATTAATCCTTGGTGCATGTGTTTGTTAAATGAGAGAGAACAATTCAAGCATTGGTGGGCTTTAGAAGGAAAAGTTCCATTGCATTGATTTGCAGAGAATTGAAATCATGAAGTGCTACACTTAGTGATTTTTGGAATCCCTCTCTTAATTAGGTGTGTGTTTTTGAAATCCTTATGCTGCTTAGTTTGGAAAGAGTGTGAAAATACAAGTATATCCAGTGCAAATACAAGATTTAGAAATATCATATACAATGAGTTCGGATCTACTGAACACTACACATTGCAGGCCACTCACATCAGGAATGACGCATTGATTATACTTTAAAACACCGATATTCTCGATGTGTAACTGGATGCGCATGGCCAGCAATGTGTCATAGTCAGCAGATCCAGACTCTGCACTGAAATCCTTGATGATATCCCTTGCAATGAGTTCAATTCAGCAGATATATCCTTTCTTATATATCCAATATTTACTGTAGTGGTCCATAATAGTGATTTTTAAATTATAGTTATTTAATTATAATTAATGTTACTTAATTTTTTAATTACAAAGATTTTTAAATTTAAATTGATTATTCAAATTATTAACTATAATTTATATGATACTTCATTAATAGTTGGTATTTTTATAGATACCAATAATTTGGTTAACTGTTATTCATTGTATCTTATTTTTTCTATTTTACTGTAATTTTTCTTTTAATAGGAAAACAATAGTGTTAATTAACTGAAAAATGTAAATAGAATGTTGATAATTAAATTATTAAACACTAACTATTAGAAATGTTGATAAAGAAATTATTAAACAGTAACTAATAAAACATTGATAATTATTAATTTATTAAATGCTGACTAATAAAACATTGATAATTAAATAGGAACTCATCCTACTTGAACTAGGTGGGTCTTACTTTGTTAAAACCCAAAGCGCATAGGATGTAAACGGATCAAATACGAATCAAATCAGGCAATATTCTAATTCAAATCCAATTAGAAAATTCGATATCCGACAAATATTGAAAATCAACGTTCAAATTTGAATTTCATTAAATATTCAAATATTTAATTTGATTCAAATTTGATCGATTAATTATTTTAGGTAATTAATAAGTATATAAAATAAATATTTTATTTATATAAAGTACATAAATATATAAATTGTTTATATAATTTAATTGTTATATATTTATAAATTATATAAAATATTTAAATATGTTATATATCATATATAATAATTAAATAATCAATTGAATTTGGATATTTATTGAATAGAATAAGGTCATATCCGAATTTGACCGACTATGATATTTAAATTATTTGAATTCAATTCAATTATGTTGAATCTCGAATTTGAAATCAGATTTTTGAATACTGTTGACACCCCTACTAGATAGTCCTGTAAATAAAGTGAGTTTGAATTGAATCATATGATATTCGTATTCGATTCTGATTAAAGAGTAGCTGATTCGAATTTGATTTGATATTCCATTATATATTTAAAAACGTAAACTGAATTTGAATTCATTTAAAATATTGAATATTCAAATTTGACTAATTCTATAAATACTAAAAATCCTAAATCTAGAAATGAGATTAGACAAGAAAAAACCCTTTTGCTATTACTTGTGGGCAAAAAAGAAAAAAAAAACTCAAAAGACTAGAATAAGAACAAATGAAAAGCAAAAAAACACCTCAAAATATAAAAATAAAAAAGAGACAGAGAGAAATAAAAGAGAAAGCAAGAGATGAAAAGCTTGGATGGCTGCTATGGTAGATAGAAGTTGAGACTCGAATGACAAAAGTTGGAAGGCCCTAAAGCCCAATTGTCTTCGGCAAAACCTGGTGCTATCTCCTTTTTTTTTTTTGCAATTGAGTTGAGTCGAGCCGAACTTTGGCATGTCTTGGCCCGACTTGACTAAAATACTACTAGGTTCGAGTTTGACTCGAACTATATTTTTTGGCTCGAGCTTGGTTCGATTAAATATTTAATGAGCTCAAGTTTGGCTCAAAAGCTCGAAATTAAATATATTTGTATATTGTATATATATAATATTTTTATAATATATAGTATATTCGTATATTATATAGAATATAAAAATATGTATGTATGTATGTATGTGTTAATCGAGCATACCCCAAGGTTCAAACTCGATTTAAGCTTAATTAGAACCAAACTCAAATCGAGCCTAATTGAATTTAAGCCCAAACTATTCATTGAGAGCTTGATTCGTTTGCAACCTTACTTAAAACTACAATATACATACTAAATAGGGTTCCAACAAAATTGGTTCCTAAGACACCTTTTGAATTGTTGGTTGGAAAGAAACCCAATCTAAAACATGTACCCATATGGGGTTATAAAGCCGAAGAAAGGGTATACAACCCATAGTTGGGAAATTAGAACCAAAAACCATAAGTGGATACTTTATAGGATATTTCAAAAAGTCAAAAGGATATATGTTTTGCTATCCTAATAATGCCTTAAGGATGGTATAAGCCAAAAATGCTAAATTTCTAGGGGATCATGAGGAAAGTGGGTGAAAATTTCCTAAAGTTCAACCAAGTGGGACAAGTGTTGTTGCATGTATAGATTATGTCTTACTTGTATGAAAAATGGAACAACAACTCCCCAATCATGGGGAAGTAACACTCCTTGAGACAACTAAAAATCACAACTAATTTGAGGCTATTAATGAGGTTTAAGAAGGCATTTTTAAACCTGAATATTCGGACCTCCTTGTAGATCTTCTAGAATAAGGAGAAGCACCACATTTTCAAGAAGCCATGGATGGTTCAAACTTTGTGCTTTGGCTAGAAGCCAATGAAGAATGAGCTAGACTTCATGGCTACAAATGGAGTCTAGGAATTTGTATTGTTGTTAGAAGAAAAAAGAGCAATTTCATGTAAATGGGCATTCAAAACTAAGTGGAACCCTACTGGTATAGTAGAGAGGAACAAAGCTATAGGGGTGCAAATGGATCAGATTCTAATCCGATCCGATCCGAAATTAGCGGATTTAGATACCCTCCTCTTCGGACTTTCGAATCAAACCGGATCACAAAATTGGATCCGTTTGGAATTCATATTGAATTCGAATAACCCCCTAATTTGATCCGAAAAAGATCCGATCCAATCTGGCCCTTCATATATATATAGATATTATTTTTATAATTATTATAAAATGACATTTATACCCCATTTTAATATTTTGTTTTAAAATAATATAATGTAGTTTAATTAATTACATAGGTCTAAAATTATATATTTAAAAATGAGGTCCTATCTAACAAAAGTAAAAACTAAAAAATGGGGTCCAAATACCCTAGACTCTTCCTCTCTTCTAACTTCTAAACAGCTGAAAGAGTGAAAGTGAGAAGAAGGCAAAGAACCCTAGCCACCGCACGACACTGTGTTGCTGCCTACCGCCATCGCCGGTGACCGGTTGTAGATTGCGACTTGCTGAATTGTCGTTCGCCCATTTGGTTCAATCTTGACCATTGCTAGTCATCGATTGCCTCGCATTCAACCATTCACAACTCAACAATGTCACCGGTAATATTTCTTCCCCCATCTTCTATTAACTAAAAAGTGGAGTCCGAATACCACCGACTCTTCCTCTCTTCTAACTTCTAAACAACTAAAAGAGTGAAAGTGAGAAGGTGAAGAACCCTAGCCGCCGCACGACACTGTGTTGCTGCCTGCTGCCATCACCGGTGACCGGTTGTAGGTTGTGACTTGCTGATTTGCCATTCGCCCGTTTGGTTCAATCTTGACCATTGCTAGTCATCGGTTGCCTCACATTCAGCCACTCATGACTCAACAATGCCGCCAGTAATCTTTCTTCCCCCATCTTCTATTTTTTTTCATTCCCTTTTCTATGAGTTTTATCATGTGGAATAGGTTTAGCCATTTAGGTTTGTTTGAATCAGATTTTGTTTATCCATTTAGGTTTTTGTATGAGTGTATTTTTTTTGTGTATGAATATTAAATTGTTTTTTTTTTGTGCTAGAAGTTTATCTTAAATTGCTGAACATTACAGGTTAAATTGCTGATAATTCACAGGTTAAATTACTAAAATAATGAAATTTTCATGTTAAATTTATGTTATATGTCCATGTTAAATTGTTGATAATTAAGATGTTAAATTGCTGAAATTTTATAGGTTTTAAGTGTAAGTTAAATTGGTGAAAATGTATAGGTTAGATTTATGCTTAGAAGTGTGTTAAATTGTTGATAATGCATAGGTTACAAGTTAAATTGGTAATATTTGAATTGAATCGAATAAGATATTTGATTTGAAAATGCTCAATCGAATCGGACCGGATTTGTATCAGATATCCGATGAAAAGGTTTGAGTCGAATTCGAACCATTGAATACAAAATTTGACGGATTCAAATTCGAATTTGAATCATTTGATTTTTTATTGAATCGAATTCGAATCCACCCCGATTCGAATTCGATTCAATTTGTTTGCATCCCTACAAAGCTAGACTTGTGGCAAAAAGATATAACATAGAGAAAGGGATGAATTATAATGAAACCTTCTCTCTAGTTTCAAAGAAGGATTCATTATGAATCATAATGGCTTTAGTGGCATACTATGATATGGAACTACATCAAATGAATGTAAAAATAACCTTTTTGAATGGGGATCTTGAGAGGAGATATAAATGGATCAACCGAAGGGTTTCACAACCAAAGGAAATGATGAACATTTAGTTTATAAATTAAACTAGTCAATATATGGCTTGAAGTATGCCTATCGTTAATAGTATTTTAAATTTCACAATATTATAA